GGAGAAGTACTGGGGGAACGCCATCAAGTCCTACGATGGCCGATCAGACCCCCAGGAACACTTCAGCCGTTACCAGAACAACATGCTGATGGTGAACGCGTCCGACGAATACCTCTGCCGTTGGTTCCTCTCTACTCTCGAGGGGACAGCGTACGAGTGGTTCAACGCGCTCCCCGAAGGGAGCATCGACTCATGGCAGGATCTCGCCCAGCGCTTCCTCACTCACTTTGCCGGGAGGAAGCGCGCGAAGAAGTATTTCACCCACCTCCTCTCCGTCAAGCAGCAGCACGAGGAGTCCCTCCGGTCATTCATTGATCGGTGGACGAGGGAAACCGAGGAGGTCGAGGGGGCCGATGAGCGCACCCTCCTCGCCTTGTATCAGGGAGCCCTCCGCAGCTCCCCATACGCTAGGAGCCTCATCACCGACCCCCCGAGGTCGTACGCCAAGGCGCTCCAGCGCGGAGGCTTGTATGCCGACGCCGATGAGCTCCACAATCACAAGAGAGAGGGGGGCCATCCCTCCAAGAAGACAAATCCTTCACCGGCCCCGGGTCCGTCCCCGGCCGGCCAGGGTGCCCAGGGCCGTCACGGCTCTGGTGGACAGAGTAAGAAAGATCGCCACTGGCGGCCGAGGTTGGAACGGCCGGGGGTAACCCTCACCCACCCGGTCGGCACCATCCTCGATTATGCCGAGAAGCACGGCCTCATCGAGCAGGCTCCTCGGCCGGCCGAGGAGATCCTTGCCATCCAGCAGGGCGGCACGTACTGCCGGTTCCACAAGAACTCGTCGCACAACACCGACGATTGCATCACACTGAAGAAGGCCATCGAGCGCCTTATTCGTCAGGGGGGAACTCTCCCAGTTTGTCAAAGGTGGCCCACGCAAGAACACTTGGGTAAACACCGGCAAACATGGGGGCGAACCCTCTGCGAAGAAGCGGGAGATTGGTAGGCTCAGCGACGACGAGGACTTCGAAGAGCCCCCGCCGAAGAAGAATCACATCCACCTCATCGTAGGTGGGAACACTGGGGGGGACTCCGCCACTCAGAGAAAGAAATGGGCCCAATCCTTTTACATTGGGGAGGTGTCCCACGTTCCCCCCCAGCCGAAGAGGCAGCGAGCGGAGGCGATCACCTTCACCGACAAGGATCTGCCTCCGGGTACGGAATCACACAGGGACGCCCTCGTCATCCGATGTGAGATCGGTGACTCCATCATCCACCGTACTTACATCGATACGGGGAGCTCCGTCAACGTGATGTACCTGGACACCTTCAAGCAGCTGAAGCTGGACAGAGCTCTGCTGAAGCCGATCAAGACCCCGTTATCCGGCTTCACCGGGGACTCTATCGACGCAGAGGGCACGATAGTCCTCCCCGTGGAGGTCGGTGACGGCCCCCACCACGCCAGAATTAACATGGAGTTCATGGTGGTCAACCTCCAGTGCGCCCACAACCTGATCTTGGGGCGGCCAGCGCTGGAGGACTTGGAGGCCATCATCTCCTTGAAGCACTTGTGCCTGAAGTTCCCCACCGACGACGGCATCAGCTACGCCAGAGGAAACCAGAGGATAGCCAGGGCATGCTACCTCAAACTGACGAGGCCGGCCGAGAGGGAAGGCCAGAGGATAGACACCATCACGGCCGCCGTCGCCATGGACGAGGAGAGGCCACATGCGGAGCCGGCCGTGGAGGTCGAGGAAATCCCTCTGGATACCTCCCGGCCGGAGCGGGTTCTCAGAGTCGAAAAGCAACTCTCCAGAGACCAACGAGACGCCATCCTCCTCGTCCTACGGTCATACGCCGTTGTCTTCGCGTGGGGCCCGGACGATATGCCAGGCATCAGCCGCCAGGTGATCACTCACCGGCTGACCGTCGATCCGGCCTCAGCGCCTGTCAAGCAGAAGCGGCGCTACTTGTCCGCCGACAGGCGGGACTTCGTCAAAGGGGAGGTCGCCATGCTCCTCTCAATCAAACACATCAAAGAGGTGAAGTACCCGACATGGTTGGCCAATGTCGTCCTTGCCCAGAAACCGCCGACGTTCAGAATGTGTGTTGATTACACTGACCTGAACAAGGCATGCCCCATGGACCCGTTCCCTCTCCCCAACATTGATCAGCTGGTGGACGAGACGGCGGGGTGCGAGTTGATATCGTTCCTCGACGCTTTCAGAGGGTACCAACAAATCTCCATGCATGAAGATGACGCTGAGAAGACGGCATTCATGACCCCAGAGGGAATCTTTTGTTACCTCGTCATGGCCTTCGGACTCAAAAACTCCGGCGCCACCTACACTAGGATGGTGGCCAAGATCTTCAGGGCAGTCCTTGGCCGGACGATGGAGGCGTACGTCGACGACATGATCGTCAAGAGCAGGCAGGCCACCTCCCACGCCGACGACCTCCGGGAAATCTTTAAAATAATGAAGGAGTTCAGGCTCCGCCTCAACCCCAAGAAGTGCGCCTTCGGCGTCCAGGGCGGCAAGTTCCACGGCTACATGGTCAGCCGGAGAGGCATCGAGATAAACCCAGAGAAGACGCAGGCTATCATGAACATGGAGCCGCCCCGCAACGTCAAGGAGGTACATCGACTGACGGGGCGCCTGGCGGCCTTAAACCGGTTCCTCTCCAGGTCAGCCGAGAGGGCACTCCCCTTCTTTCAGATCATGCGTAAAGCCAACAGCTTCAAGTGAACGACGGAGTGCCAGGAAGCATTCGACGAATTGAAAAGGTACCTGTCGTCCCCACCCGTGCTCTCCAAGCCCAAAGCCGGTGAAACCCTCTTCTTGTACTTAGGGGTGAGCACGTCAACCATCAGCTCTGTGCTCATCCGTGAGGACGAAGGGGTGCAAAAGGCCATCTTCTACATCAGCAAGACACTCAGGGAGGCCGAGCTCAGGTACTCCCCCATTGAGAAGACGGTGCTGGCCATCGTCCATACGGTGAAGAAGCTGGGACACTACTTCCAGGCCCACACCGTCCATGTACTGACCCAGCAGCCTCTCGGCGCACTCATGAGGAGCCCCACCAGCTCCTCTAGGATGGTGAAATGGGCAATTTTCCTCAGCCAATTTCAAATTGAGATCAAGCCAAGGCCATCTATCAAAGGGCAAGCCTTGGCCGACTTCGTCATCGAATGCACAACAAGGGAGACGGCCGTCGCCAACCCCGGGCCAGAGCCGGACGATACATGGACCCTGTTCACTGACGGCTCGTCGGCCGCGAAATCATGCGGCGGCGGCGGCGGCGGCGGCGTCCTCATATCCCCTGAAGGATTCAGAGCTTACTATGCCATCCGCTTCAACTTCAGGGTATCCAACAACGAAGCCGAGTATGAGGCCCTCCTCAGCGGTCTCAGACTCGCAGCCGGCCTCAAGGCCAAGCACCTCAAAATCAAGTGCGACTCCAAACTGGTGGTGGGCCAGGTGGAGGGATCGTACGAAGCGAAGGAAGGCCGAATGAAGCAGTACAAACAAGCGGCAGAGGAGTTGCTGAAAGCATTTGAAACCCACGAGATCACTCAGATCCCAAGGGTCGAGAACGCCGAAGCCGACATCCTCTCCAAACTCAGCTCGGACACCCCCGAGCACATCTCCCAGTTGGCCAAGATCGAGGAGTTGAGCATGTCCAGCATCCATGCCAGCCCCGTCTTGTGCGTCCAACAGCGACCGGAGGACTGGATCTCCGACATCGCCACCTTCATCGCAACGGGGGAGCTGCCCCCGGACGAGGAGAGAGCCAAACTTGCCAAACTCAGGGCCCCAAGCTACACCATCGAAGATGGCAAACTCTATAAACGATCCTACAATGGCACTCTCCTTCGATGCCTCCACCAGGATGAGGCCGACATAGCCATGGAAGAAGTTCATTGTGGCGTCTGCTCTTCACACCAGGGCCCTTTCAGCATGTCCCGGCGTCTCGTCGTCCAGGGTTTCTTCTGGCCGACGATGGCACGCGACTGCGCTGACCTGGCCAGGAAGTGCACCGCATGCCAGGTACTCCAGAAGGCCCCTGGTCGGCCAGCTGTCAACTACGCCCCCGTCAGCACCGCAATTCCATTCTCCAGATGGGGGATTGACCTGGTCGGCCCCCTGCCCAGAGCCGCCGGGAATAACCGCTACATCATCGTCGCCGTCGACTACTTCACCAAGTGGGTCGAGGCGGAACCCTTGGCTAGCATCACGGGGGTCAGATGCCAAAAATTTGTATACAAGAACATCATCACACGCTTTGGCGTCCCCCAGGAGATTATATCAGACAACGGCACCCAATTCGAGGCAGCCTGTAATACCCGAGATTAATATAAGAGGATTAATAGTACTACTCATACCAACAGAGGTGCATCTCCTTTTAAGGGAGCTCATCACCCAAGAACTCCAAAGTTAAGCGTGCTTGCACGAGAGTAGTCTTGGGATGGGTGACCCCCTGGGAAGTTTCTCAGGGCGCGCATGAGTGAGGACTAAGTGCGCGGTAAAGGCTCGTGGTGGTTTGTGAGGACAGTACTAGAGGTCAGAAGTAACTACCTCAGAGCCTACGGGGCCGGGGTGTTACAAGTGGTATCAGAGCAACCCTGCGCAGTGTACTGACCCGTTAGATATCGGGCGGGCATTTAGCGGGGCAAGATTCTGGGGTTTGATTGAGATTGTTAAGGGCGCAACGAGGACGTTGCGATCCTAAGTGGGGGTGATTGTAATACCCGAGATTAATATAAGAGGATTAATAGTACTACTCATACCAACAGAGGTGCATCTCCTTTTAAGGGAGCTCATCACCCAAGAACTCCAAAGTTAAGCGTGCTTGCACGAGAGTAGTCTTGGGATGGGTGACCCCCTGGGAAGTTTCTCAGGGCGCGCATGAGTGAGGACAAAGTGAGCGGTAAAGGCTCGTGGTGGTTTGTGAGGACAGTACTAGAGGTCAGAAGTAACTACCTCAGGGCCTACGGGGCCGGGGTGTTACACAGCCCCTTTCCAAGAACTCCTCCGGGAGTTTGGGTAAAGCATCGTTTCTCCTCCGTTGCCTACCCTCATGGCAACGGGCAGGTCGAGAACGCCAACAGAACAATTATGGAGGGGCTGAAGAAGAAGCTCCAGGCCGCGGGAGGTAGTTGGGTCGACGAGCTCCCCAACATCCTGTGGTGCTACAGAACCACGCCGAGGAGGGCGACAGGTGAAACGCCTTTCGCCCTGTGCTACGGCTTTGAAGCAAAGGCGCCCACGGAAGTTGCCATCCCCAGCCGACGGGTGGAACAATACGAGCCTGACGCCAATGAGGAAAGCATGAAGATTGACCTGCACCTGGTCGATGAGAGGCGTGAGCAAGCTTACGTTCGAGCAGAGAACTACCGGCGTCAAGTAAAATCATACTATGACGCCAAGGTACGTTCCCGGGAATTTCAGGTGGGGGACTACGTCCTCCGCCGAAGGGAAGCAAGCCAGCCGACAGAGGGTGGCAAACTAGCATTGAAGTACGAAGGGCCCTACATCGTCAGTGCCGTGGTCAAACCCGGCACCTACAAGCTTAAACGCCCGAATGGGTCCGATGTACCACGAACGTGGAATGTACACCATCTGGTGAAGTTTTATCAGTAATCCGAAGGAGGTGTAGACGGTGAAGCCCTCACCCCTTAACGGGTTACTGATTGAACGCCACCCTCGGCCTCGAGCCACTTATGAATAAAATCATGTTCCTCCTGATTTTCTCTCTGGAATTTAAAGTACAAAACATTAGCAGGTGCCCTCATCGGCCACCTCAGAGCAAAAGGCTCAGGCATGGTCGACAGGGCCCCTTGCACTTGCAGCCTACGATCGACAAGATCAGGCGTTCCATTGTATTTTGTATCAGCGAAGGGCTCAGGCCTAGCTGAGAGAGCACATCGTCCTGGCCCCGTAAGCCTAGAAGTGAAACGCTCAGGTACGGCCGACGATGTCCCCAGGACGAGGGGCCCGCAAACGGCCCACGTCTTGAAACGGGAAGCTCACCGCGTCGTCCACGCGCCAGATCGCAGGACGACAGGCCTGAAATCATGGCCGAGGTGACAAAATCCCCAAACTCAGGGATGGGCAACGACAGTCGTTGGAAACCGACCAAAAGTCTAGCCCGCGTCATAAATAGGCGACGGGACCCGCCCTGAGATCACGGACGTTATAAACGAAGTCCGAACCGGCCAAAGGACGAGCACACCCTTCGGCCGAAGCCTGAAAGAAGGATACTCCCCGAAACAAAAAAAAATATAAGGGAAAAAGAGGGAAGCCGACGGCCGCGCACACTAGCCGGCCTCGAGCAATGAAAAAAGAAAATCCCCACAACTCAGGCCCAACTAGGCCAAGTACATATCAGTTGAACACAAGTGTAGTACCACTGACAAGTAACATGGACGACACGTCCACGCACTACAAGGGAATAATCAAGGCCGAAACACAGGCCTATGAAACCCTAACCGCATCGGTTGGGTGACACGCGAGAGGTGACCTTCATCGGCCACAGTCCTTTGAAGCATCAACGCTTGGTATGAAATGAAGAATCACAATCCTGAGGACCAGGACGAAGCGGGCACTTAACACACCCGCAGAAGAATCAGGCAATCAGGAAACAATCCTTACTTACCACAGCACCCCGGATAGCCGATACGAGCACTGGAACCAAGGCTGTTGGTCAAGCGAAAGTTCTTTGGGAATTGGTTCAAGTGTTTACCAAACACTTAGAAAAAATCCTGAGAAAAAAGAGGGTTCCTCAACAAGGAACCATGGCTAGCCGACGAAGGTAGGACCATCTCCTTGGAAAAGTCATTTCTTATCCGGCACCCTCATCGGCCACAAGCCAGACCTTGGCCGGCAGCGGTACCGCAAAGAAGTAAATGCCTTACATTTATACTTAGAAAATTCTCTAAGTACTCAAATGAAGGAACTCTAGCCGAAGCGGGTACCTGTATACTCCAAGGCCGTTAGCTACCTACGCCTCTGCATGTGTACTTAGAAAAATTCTAAGTTCAAAATATCAAGGTGAAGGTACCCTTATCGGCCACGACACAAGGACACTGGGCCGACAACGTCAACATCGGTTCAACACTTAGGATATGTTTACTTCATTTCTTAGTAAATGGTGTTTAGTAAGCCTTGCCTTAGTAAGCCGTCGTTTAGTAAGCAGTGTTTAGTAAGCCAATGTTTACTTCATACAAAATTCAGGCCCGATTAATCAAAAGTCCGTTTAATTTCATTGGGCTTCAAACATTTCTTATGTATAAAATGTCAAAAATATCCCCCAATCAGATAAATAACCTAGCCGATTACAATTGATGACTATCCCCGGGCATTTCAATCGCTTCTCCAAGCAGAGTGTTGTCTACCTCCAGATTGATGATCAGACATATGCTTTCTTCTTCCATTTTTTCTCTCCAGATTGACCGATCAGGCATATTTTCTTCTTACTCCGCTGCATCTATCTTCTCCATTTCCAGTTTATATATATACTATATGCTATTACGTATATAATTTATAATTAGCAAGTGGTTATAGATAAGATTGAACAAGCTGGTTCTATAGATAATAATACTCCTTATAATACTCTGTAAAAAAAATCCGATATAACCAACAGCCCATACTCTTCTTTTTAAATCCAATAAACTGCTGCACACGTAAGCTATCTTAAATGGCAGCTTTGATATGTATGTGTGTGGCTCGTTGATTATTGGTAATTTTTAGTTAGAGTTAATTAAACCAGAACAACAAAATAATAATTTTCAAGATTCATTTATGTATAGCATACTATTGATTAGTATCAAATATTAGTAATAAATTGTAACCACATGTAATATTGCTCTATGTATTAGAATGGAAGGAACTCAGGGAAGTGGAACATCACAACCTGATTCTGTAATGTGGCGTAATGCATCCAATCCAAAGCATATCTTAAAGAGGAAGTCACAAAATTGGTGGTTCAATGCTCAATCATGTCTTATGAATACCATATTTTGGATGTTTGTTGTATTATTCACAAGGCGTAAGCGAACACAAAGTATTCGTTACATAATAGACAATCATTCTAAGAGGCAGGGGTATTTTCAAAGATTAGTACATGGACCCGAAGCAAATTGCATTTCGCAATTGCGAATGAGTCGTGCTGCATTTTTCAAATTGTGTGATATGTTGGTTGTAAGGGGTGGGTTGAGACCCACGAGACATATGATAGTAGAAGAACAAGTAGCTATTTCCCTACTTGTATTATCGCATCATCACAAAAATAGAACATTAATTACTGAATTTCAAAGATCGGGGAGAACGATAAGTAGATGCTTTGCTAGTGTATTACATGCTATACTACAACTTCATCTTGTTTTGTATGCTAAGCCTCAACCAATTACAATGGAATGCAATGATGACCGATGGAGTATATTTCAGGTTCTTATCTTAGTTATTATATTGAATTTATAATATGTAACTAGTCATTGATATATGTTTTTAATACTTACCACTATAATGTTACAGAATTGTGTGGGTGCACTAGATGGCACTTATATTGATGTGCATGTATCACCAAGTGATCATAATCGTTTTCGTTCTCGAAAAGGAATGATTGCTACAAATGTACTTGGTGTGTGCAATCCACAAATGCAATTCATCTATGTGTTTCCTGGGTGGGAGGGATCATCCGCAGATGGTAGAGTTTTGCGAGATGCCCTCACAAGAAGGTTTCGAGTTCCACAAGGTATAATTGTATGTATATTATAATATATAATACAGTAAACATTCATACTTTTTTAAAATAATGTAAAAAACCAAGAAATTGGGGCCAAATGCCCCCTGGAGAGAAGGAAAACTGAATTGTGAGGATCATAAACATTAATAATGTAAAAAAAAGAAATTGGGGCCAAATGTAGTGCTGATTATTAATAAAAAGTACTAACATAAATGTATTAAATTTATCTTCATTGTTATACAGGATGTTACTACTTGGTTGATGGGGGATATGCTAACTGTGAAGGGTTTCTTGCGCCATATAGAGGACAAAGGTATCATTTGTCTGAATGGCAAAACAATTGTCAACCGCATAACGCGCATGAGTATTTTAATATGAAGCATTCACAAGCTAGGAATGTGATCGAACGTGGATTTGGATTACTTAAAAATCGATGGGCCATTTTACGGAGTGGCTCGTGGTATTCTATATGTGTGACCTGTAAGATAATAGTGGCATGTGCCCTATTACATAACTTCATTCGACGTGAACATGATATTGATCCAATGGAGGACGATGATATAGAAGAACAGGAAGGTGTTGATGAAGAAGAAGATGCAGAAGTCCACTGGGGAGGAGTTGATTTACGCCCTACTGAAGCATGGACTGCATTTCGAGAAGATTTAGCAACAGAAATGTACACCGCTTGGCAATCATAAATATAATTTCGTCTCTCTGTTTGTTTTCATAAAATGTAATGTGACTGGAACTTACTATGAATGCTTGCTTTTCATTGTAATTCAAAAGTATTTTTAATATTTTTGGTTGTAAAATGTTCTAAATTATTGCTATAATAGAACAATGATGTTTGCAATTTAATATCAACATCCCTTCTGTTTCCTTTTCCGTTAGTGTGGATCATTGTTTTGTGAAATCATGTTTGTATTTCAAGAGCTGCTTGGATAATATGGAATTTAGTCTTACACCAAGAGCACAAATTATCTTCTTGGAAATCAAATAAAGCTATACCAAACTGGCTGATTTTGTTCCTGGATATTATTAGACCATTTGCAACAATTTAGAATGGCAGCTTAATGGGTTCTGGTTGTGCTTATATAAGAGCACAAAACTTTGATCACTTGTTTTGTTAGATAATTTTATTTTGTGACTGAAAGCTTCTCACATGTGGTGATTAACCATACAGTATTATTCACAAAACACACAGCAAAAATGTGGTGATTATTCAACTGTCATCATACACACAGTTGGCCTCCAAACAGATTCTGTCTTGTATAAAGCTAAGTCCTTGATGGGAAAATTACATACATCTAGTGCTTGCATAACAATATTGTCAAACTCAAAAAACAATACCCTTGTTCGAAATCATAACAAAATAATAAAGTGACAATAAACACGCTCAAATGGTAACATGCGTAATGAACTGCTACTATGGTTCAAATGCAAAATAGAAATTGATAACAGTGTATCATAAGGATAGTCACTCTAAGAACATAAATATAAAAAACGCCATGTTTCATCCATCGATGCAATAAATCATGATTCATCTTCTAAACACCACTTGCACCAATCCATCTTTTCCTCATCTGGCAAACCATAGAAGTACAACAACTCACTTTGGTTTTTTCCCATTTTCTTCATGATCTTAAATTTCATAGGTAAAGTCATGCCTTTGAGAGCGCCTAAAGCAATTGGGAGACGTGATGTCTTATCTGCTATATCTGTATCCACCCTTGACATTTCCAATCCCGCCTTTTCAAGTTGAATAGAAGCCGCCTCTACATAAGTTGAGAAACTGTCAATGCTTGAACTACTCTTACCCTTCTTCTTGCCACGACTATTGGAGGTAGAAGAGTTAAGACTACTCTGTGGAGTGTCATTGTCACTTGTTGCAGGTCTCTTTGATGTTTTTTTATTTGCAACACCAGAAACGGAGGAATCATTTACGTCTTGCATGTGTTGTGATTCAAAAGCTGGATCAAATTCACTTTCTTGAACCATGTCTTCACATTCCATCCCAGTTGCTCCAGTAGCGCGGTCCACAGAATAAATAGCACAAAATTGTTCATAGTACCACAAACTTTTTCGTCTTAAAGCTCCAACTTTAGATTTACTCTGAAAGTATAAAATCACATTAATAAAAATATACCAACGCATATATATATATATATATATATATATATATATATATATATATATATCTAGGAAAACTACGCTATACAAAGTACAAACCACATTCCCAAAACTTCAGAAATATCTACTTCGAAGACACAAGAAATTACTTATCACAATGCCAATAAGGTTACTATTTCACGCATCATTTTCTCCCCATCTAAACATCACCCATTTTACTTTATCCTTGCTTCAATTCCACCTAAAACATAACAAACATTGAACTTCAAAGCACAGGAAATTGCAGAAATAATAAATCCATCTCTTTGTGATATTGTTCTGATAAACTAAAAAGAGACTTGTTTTAAGACATAAAAGGTCATTTTAAGTCAGCATCAGTATAATATTGTAACAACCAGACCTAAAATATATCTATATCTATATATATAATTACCTCAGCAATAGCTTCCCACACTTCATTAGAGGCAGTGATCATTTTGGATATAGGATCCCATCCAAATCCACTTAGTGAGGCAGTGCGGCCATTTAACAAGTCATAATACTCTTGCCAAACTTGTTTCAATGTTCTTATACGAGATTCAATGTGTGGTTTAGCTTCCAAGTGAGAATGAGGCAACTTCTGTGACATCATTTTTGCTAGCTCACTTAAATAACCTGCTTCAAAGCCTCCTTTTTTTCCATTATGTGTGCCATGGGTATGCAATTCGACCATACAATTAACAAGAGTTTGATCTTCTTGGGCAGTCCATTTCCTTCTTGTGCCTTTTGCAACATGTGCCATCTATCAAAAACAAACACAAGAAACAAAATATAAACCAAGAAAGATATCATCTAAAACTTTGAAACTTACACAGATTGTAAATACTATTCACAGAAGCATTTTTTATGGAATAAAAGGACTAAAGTTGGTTTGTTAATTTGCACTTACACTTTGACAAGCATGTTATTGGATTTTTATTACTTGTAAATAGAATTCATTCTCAGATGATTAATTTATTTTTGGATCAGTGTTCTAGCTTGTATAAATAAGTAATCAAAAAAATTCTAAACTTCATTTGTCTAAATAAGGGTTACTGCTAAACAAAACAAAAAACATACTAATATACTCAAATTATTTAACTAATAGCACATGTATAAATAAGGTATACTGTAACGAATTAGTGAATAATTAGAATGCAACAGTGGTAACATAAGTTCTACTTCAATAAATTTGTTAATTATATAACTAATTAACATGGCAGGTGAGAAGGGAATTGCGTTTAACTAAACTCCACTTTACTAGCCTCCATGAAAAATATCAAACACCTTGAAGGCATGTTTCAGTTTAGCTATACAGTTCAGAAAACAATCATACTAGATATCCATTTCCGAAATTGCAGGCATACAACATTTCAGTTTCTAGCTATGCGACCCAAGCGATGGTTTGGACTGGGATTTGTCAAAAACACGTACTGAAATATAGCTTGATGAGAGGATTTTCAGTGGTGAGAATCCCAAAACAAAAGAGTTCAAAATTAATATTAAGAAATCTCTGTCGTTTATATCGACCAGTAAATAGTTTCAACATAGCAAGTTAGGTTTGGTTAGATATTTGTCTAACAAATTTTGAAAGTCTAACCTACAAAATCTGCATAAATTAATGTGCGATATACCTGGGTTGATTGTTGCGACATAATATACTGTTCGAGCTTCACAGGTATTGAAGAATTGAGGGTTTCGAAGTGAGAACGATTGAGAGACTTCAGAGATGTGTTTGTTTTTTCGAAGAGGAGGTCTGGGGAGAGTGAAATGTGTCGTAGGAATGGGAAATGGTGGGAGGGGTTAGGGAAGGACACAATTGTAAATAAAAATGTCAGAAGCAATAAAATAAGGGCACACGGGTCATTATTGAAATGCTTAACTCGTCGGCTATATAATACATGGGGGGAGCGATCGGTTATTAAGCACCGCTTAAGAGGCGTTGCTGCTTATTAAGCATACTTTTAAGCATCCGAAATTGTTTACTTCAGCCTTCTTAATAAGCTAACGGTCTTCTTAACAGCAAAGTAAACATATCCTTAGTAAATTTCTTAAAGCACCTGTTAATAGTGCAAAGGGGGTGCCACATCAAGACGACGAGAACACCCACCCACTCGAGGTCTGGATACTTAGTAGAATTTCCTAAGTCCTAACTCCAAAGTACTTAGACAGAACAGTAAACGAGACGACGACGCAGACAGCAAGTACTACGAAAACATTTTCATTCAACATAAATGAGTACAAGGAGGGCTTCTAGGCCGTTACATAGCTGAAAGAAAGATAAAACTACAAAGGATCAGAACTCTGGAGGGGCTTCAGAGTCCTTCTCGGCCTCAGCTCCCCCCTCGGCCGGGACAACAGACGTACCGGCAGGGGCACCCGACGTGGCAGTATCTTCAAACATGCTCCGCTCATACGCCCAGTCATCGCTGATACATGAGCTCTCAATAGGGAGCTGCCGCTCGGCCACCGGAAGCTCCAACTCTGCCTCAGGATGCTTCATTAACGGAGGCAGCTCGAGGCCGACGGCCCACTCTTTGGACACACCGATATCCATGAAACGCCGTTGCAGCCTCCTGTACAACAACCGTTGCATCCGGTATTGCCCAAGGTCATAGAAGACCTTCATCTCCTTCTCCCAATAGGCCTGGCCGTCGGGGGATTGGTTCACCCAGTCAACGAGTCTGGCCGCCACGACCTCAAAACAGAATGGAAGCCGGCCTTCGTCCTTCCAACCGACTTCAAGAAACTTCTGCACAGCGGCATCAGCGGCTTTCTCCTCGGCAGCGCTGAGAGCCAGCTCTGCACTGGCCTTGCCCTTCTCGGCCTCCTCTGCGCGCTGAAGGGCCTCGTCGCGGGCACGCTCCACGTCGGCCAAGCGCTGGAGAGCCCCCTCCTTCTCAGCGGACAACTGGTCGGCCTCGTCGGCCCTCTTCTTAAGGCCCTCAACCTCGAGACGCAGCCTCTCTAAGCTGCCCATCGCCTCGTCGGCTGAGGCAACCTTCTGCTCGAATTGCCTCAGACGAGCAATCTCTTTTTGTTGCCTCCTGTTGTTCTCCATCAACATGAAGGCACCCTGCAGTAAAAAAAATGAGTTAGACAACTTTGCAACAAAAATGGGGAAGAAAGTAAGACGAAGCGGGCACGGTTACTTACTTGGACGACGTGGTCCATCCCACCATCGTACATCTTCACGTGGCCGAGCTTCTTCAGATAAGCCTGGTCTTCATCAGGGATAGCCTGAGAAGTCACCTCGTGGCCGTCAACGATTTCATTGAACAGCCCCCCCTTTGACGGGGTACTCCACCTCGAGCTTGTAGGTGCCTCTGACCAGCTCTCGGCCGGACCCTTTCTTCCGGGCGGCCGTTGCGGGAACAGGAACAGTGGAAAGAGTGGTGGACGACGGGCCTGAAGGGTGGTCCACCAAAGCATCAGGGTTTGAACCCTCTCCGTTCCCAGAAGGAACAGCCGACGTCCCAGCATCGCCGGCAGAAGAAGCCCTCTTTGACTTCTTGGGAGGCTTCATTCCCACATCCGTCAACTTCTTCTGGCCCTCTTCGGCCTGCCTCTTCTTCTTCGGCTGTACCGGCGGCTTGGCCGCAGCGGTAGCCCCAGGTTGTTGGGCCTTCAGCTCCTCGGCCGCTTTGAGTTGAGCCCTCTTCATGAATGACATGCGATCCATCACAAAACCTGCATCACAAAAAAATACTAAGGGTTAGAAAGCAAAATACGAAAGTACGACGAGGAAGCACGTCAGAAGGGACTTACCATCGGCCTCAGCTGGCACCCCCAGATCGGGACCATCAACCTCCTCATGGGACGTGGTCATCTTCGGCCACAACTCCACATCATCGTCAAGATCACCATACACAAAATACCGTACAAAGCCGAGGGCGGCCATTTTGTACTCGGTAATATATGTCTTCACACTCCTCGGCCCTCCCTCCAGGAAAGCCTCAACTTGAGCGTCCAGGATGGAGCTCCTCGGCGCATCATGAAGATTAAAACGACCAGTGTGGCCGACGGAGGGAAACTCTGTGCCCCCCTCGCCCAAAGACACGAACACAAACTTCCCCTTCCATCCATGGATGGACGTCGGCAGGTCTGTGAAACTCCTCTTCTTGGGAAGTTGCTGAAGGGTGGCATACGACGCACAGTTCTGATGACTCCCACGGCCTATCTGATATAAGTTCATGAACAGCGCCGTCGTCGGCCTGAAATCCAATTCAGCACACCGCAGGAGGAAGCCGACGATGAGTGAGTAGCTATTCGGCGTCAACAAGGCCGGAGGGAGCCCCACCATATCCAAGTACTCAGTGATAAAGGGATGAAGCGGGAACCTAAGCCCTTTAGCAAAACTCATCGGGTACACTCCGAAGTAGCCTGGGGGGGGGATTGAGGACATGGTCCGTCGGCCTGGGTGCCCTAACCCTGCCATACGGCCCCACATACATTTGGGCGACCAGGTATTCCCCCGCATTACTCTGCGGCCTGATAACATATATGTTTGTCAAATCAAGGTGAGAAAAGGCTGGCCCTCTCTTCGGCCTCCTCACCCTCCTCGGCGGCGCAACGCCCTTCACGGCAGACACAGGTTTAGGGCAGGGGATGGCAGCCGACGTGGATGCCCCATCAGCAGTTCGGGAGACCCCTGCGTCCTCACCCCCAGACGATGACGCGGACCCCTCGTCCGCACGGTCCTCCTCGGCCGGCTCCCCGGTCCGGAACGAGCTCAGATTCTCAATCTCCTCACAGAACTCCTCGACCAGCTCATAATCAAGGGACTGGGCAGAGGGCTCGTCGTCATAGGGATAGTACTCTTCGTTGAAGTTTTTCATCTTAAACACTATCTCGGATATACTGCAGCCTAGTTCAAGATCTAAGGATATTCAAGGGCCTAACACTAGATCACTAGCCTAGGAAGCAAAACATGCAAAGTACAGAGAGGATTTCGATGAACACTAACCTTGAACACGAAGAATACGAAGAACAAGCTTGAGAGTTTATCTCTCTAGAAATCCGGCCAGCACTTCGACAAACTCAGAAAGCAAATGAGTTTTCTCGTCGGAGGGGGAGGGGTATTTATAGAACCCCCTACCCAACGGTCACTACACGAGGCACCCTCCCAATGGCCACATCAACGGCCACCAATGACAGGCCACCACGTCACCAACGGGCCAAGCTACACATCAAGAGCCCACTGGCAAAACAGACTCTACGGCCTATACGCTTGCCGGCTTCACAAGTGCCAGCAAGCGCCCACAACGGCCTATTTACTTGCCAAATTCACAAGTGCCAACAATAGGGAGATGAAAACGGCCAGGAAGGTAATGAACGGCCACAGGACCAAAGGAACAAAGAACCCACAGCCGTCGGCTCCTCGTAACGACCTCTGATGATAACTCTTTACAAGCGATCTGCGCACAAGGGTTCTCCCACAGGGTTACCTTGGCCAGAAAATTGCCATAAGGGTTGGATTCAGGGGCACTACGGAGAGGCCGCTCCGGCCAGGGACTCAAGCAACTCCTTCACCCGTCACACTCTTCGGCCTGAAGCAGTGGGGGACTGGGGGACTACACCGGCCTCAACGAAACAAAAAGGACAAATGCAAACACCAATGTAACCACAAGGCACTGCCACATTGGCCATGTACCACAAAGCATGGCCTCGTCGGCCAAAGGCACATAACAGCATCAACAACGGCCAACAAGCCACCTAAGTCAGGGACACTCATCGTCCTCCGCCAACAGTTAAATCATGATGGGCTCTTTGGCCAAAAACACGAAAGCCAATCAGCGACGGCCAAAAGGAGCGCAAACACCCTCATCGGCCACCCAAAGGAAAGGACGCCATCGTCCCCAAAGCAAGGTTCAACCTCAGTGACCTCATCGGCTTAAACGTAAAACTTCAACCATCGACGTCCAAGAAAGGGAAAGCATGCCTTCAACGGCCACCATTGAAGCAGGACACTTATCGTCCCCAAATGAACACATCAAGGAAACAACGGCCTCCCCGCCCACAGCGAGGAGCAGGTAACGGCCAAGGCACGGAACAGGATCACCAAAATGGAAACAACACCAACGCCGCAACAGCCGACGGCCAAAAGCACTAAAGCACAGGAATCTACTCTCCTTCACTTCGTCTACGTCTCAGCTTAGAGAGTGGGGGACTCCTGATGGAGTATATGGGTCTGAGCCCCCGGACCCACATACTCGGAAGAACAGAAAGCACAAGGCACATAGTGGCGCCCTCGTCGGCCAAGGGACCCCTGTCGGCCGAAAAGGTGCCAACTCAGATCATGGTCCTGAAGTCAAGGAACCCGGGTGCCCTCGTCGGTCGTGCCCTCGTCGGCCATGCCCTCGTCGGCCACGCCCTCGTCGGCCACGGAGACCCCACAGAACCGGATTCTACACTTACTCATTTGTACAGCCCATTAGTGGCTTTGTATTCGGCCCAGTAGCGGTCCAGTTGTAAATGGGCCTCCCAAGCCCAAGGCTTGGGAGCCCAACCCGTATTTTCTCTATAAATACTCCCCTTGGGAGTAGTTGTGGGGGTTGAGAATTCATTAATACCAAGCAAATATACTACTTCTCTCTCTAGCTCTCACTTCTCTCTAGATATATATACTCTATCAACATGAATACATAATATCTTATAAGTAAATACTCTCTCCGTCCGCAATTAAGTTCCCGCTTTGACTTCACACGTATTAAGAAAATAAATTTGACTTTACTGTGGAGTGCACTATTTTGCACTGTTCAAACACTGTTTGGCACTGTTTTGCACTGTTTGACACTGTTTTGATGTAGATAATTTGCTAAATAAGGAAAGTAAGGAAGTGTGAACTTAATTTAGGGACTGCCCAAAAAGGAATGTGGTAACTTAATTGGGGAACGGAGGGAGTATTTTTTTGTCATGCTGTCTAGAGCCTCCATATTGTTCTGGAGGCCCTTACCCTATTTTTACTTGTATCTTTGAATGAAATCATTAAACTAGACGGATTAAACCAACCATTCCAGCTCACTGGGTGGAAGGTTATCGTGTCCTAGCGGAGGTCTCGGGTTCGAATCCCGCTAGGCACATTTAGGGGAGATGAGGGAGATCTTGCTCCCAATGATTCTTCCAACCTTCACGGAGTTGTTCACAGTGGCGGATCTTGCAACCAGATTTTGGGTGTTCAAAATTATTTTACCACTAAGATATTAAATAAAAAAATTATTACATCAATTCTTAACATGTACTCCCTCCGTTTCTGAAACAAGTTCCACCTTTCCTTTTCGGGTAGATTCAAAATTAAGTTCCACTTTCAAACATTTCCTTATTTGGCAAATCATCTACATTAAAACAGTGTCAAACAGTGTCAAACAGTGTTCGAACAGTGTCAAACAGTGCCAAACAGTGCACTCCACAGTAAAGTCAAATTTATTTTCTTAATATGTGTGAAGTCAAATGTGGAACTTGTTTCAGAAACGGAGGGAGTATTTTTGTATTGTATCTTTAAAATTTTGGGTGTTCACATGAATACCTCTGAACAAAGCAGATCCGCCCCTGGTTGTTCAGCGACAGAGAAGGGAGGGGATGATAATAAATGAACAACCTGAAAGGTGATGTAAGTCCTGGTGGATTCGTCCTAAAGAGCCAATACTGACGAGACTGACTGTAATCAGATCCGGAAGGACTTTAGAGGGTAGTTCATAAACTTCAGGATTATAGGAGCGTAAGTCCCGACACCTGGATTATCAAAAAAACTGGACCGGATTATGTGATCACCTCGGTGCAGGAATATCCTACTAGAAACATCCGTTTATGTGGACCGATCTAAAGCCTTTTAAATGTATACATATGCGCTTTGGAATAAAATAAAGTAAAAAGGAGTGGCTCTTGTCGGAACTAGACTTGTCCAATTGAAATCAAACAGATAGAACTGGATGAATCAACAAATTCTTTCTCGATGACGGACGTGCCCGTTAAAGAGAGAAATGTGTCTTTATTGCAAGCTGATTTTCTCAAAATGAACTCTTTTAAAAATTTACCAAGTTTTTTGTCAAAAAAAAAAATTACCAAGTTTGATAAGTGTGAAGTTTAATAAATTAAAATTTGTATGGTTAAAGATTGTGTCCAGACTAGATAACTAACTTGAAATACAAACTTTTTACTTAAAAAGTTACAAGAAAGAGTGTCAAAGTTAGTGTGACAAAAAGAAATTAGACAAAGTTTTAAAGGAAGAGTAAAAAAGAGGATTATTTGAGAGTTTGATTAAAATGTTGCTAACAAGGTAATAAATCTAGATTTTTTTTAAAGTAATAAATCGATATTTTTGGTAACAGTATTTTTCATTTCAATCTCCGGGTAACTTGTACAGATCAATTGTACACCCAACATTATTGGTGTAGAATTCTTTTTTATCAGTTTCACCTAATTACCCAAATCAAAGAACGATTTAAACTGCTACATGAATTATTGAGTTGTACCACGGGAAAGCTCTCTTTCGCTGTGCGAAATGCGAATTTGGGATGCTTCTTGACCTTACGATACAAAATTGCATCCGAAACGTTCAGTTTTTTTATAAAAGTCATCATATCATACAATATACAGCAGAGATTCCCGACACCACTTACCTAACATTACAAAAAAAACATGTGGGGAGGAATGGCTCAAGAAAATATCAAAACTAATACTGATATAATAGTAATACCAAGACGCATTGTTTTGTTCCCATAGAATACAGTCTCTGTCGACACACAGAACAGGCAATGACCAGGTTCTCAATTTTTTACATG